AGTGGGGAGCAAGCAAGCTGGCAGGTGAGCAGTTAGGCGTCAATCAGGCCAGCAGGGAGGTGGTTAGGGGCAATCAGGCAGGCAGGCGAGTCGTTAGGAGCCAGCAATCCCAGATTGTGAGAGGGATCGGGCCTAAACTAGCAGTCAAATATCCCCCAAGGGGTCTCATATTGGAGAGGGTGCAGGCCAGGCTGAGGGACACCCCCGCTCCCCGTGCACAAATTTTGTGCACCAGGCCTCTTGTATTATATACAATTATATACATATGCATATATACATATATACATATGCATATGATAGACCTGGCTATAATAAGTGCACTTAATCACATGCTACTTCCAGGTCAAAAATAGTTTCAATTTGCAGAACCCAGTTCATTACATTGTAAATACCTTCAGTCAACGATGTCTAGTGCACATAGGTAACACATAGATAAGATGGCATAATGTTCATAAGCCTCTAGGGCCGTGCTGTTCAATATGGGGCTCCTTCAAATTAAAGTTCAGGCTCACATAATTAAAACTCAGCTCCTGAGGTGCATCAGTCACATTTCAAGTGCTCAGGAGCCACAGGAGGCTGATGGCTACTCCACCGGACGTTTCAGCTACACACCGTGCAGAGCTATTTCCATCACTGCCGAGAGTTCTACTGGACATTCTTGCCCCAGAGGGAATAAAACAATATTGTCCGAGATCATATGAAGGGCCTAGAGCAGGTGCCAATGTCTGGTTTATGGAGTGTCAAATATATTACTAGGAGCCATGAAATCAAAGGCCATCTAAATGTACCGCAAAGGTGATTTCATCTTACAAGGCTGCTTTCCTGCTATTTAGCTTCCTGGGGGCTGCCCGAGGAAACTTCTGATCATAAACGCCCATTATTCCTTGGGATATGTACAGACCTGCCTCAATATATAAAACAAGTGGAGTCAATAAAATTCTAGGGGTGTTGCTTTCCCCTGGCTCTCAGAGCTATGGAAGACAGAAGCTAAAATAAGGCTAACTAAAAATATTTATATTATTACACACCTATCACTGGACTCTGCAAAACAGCCAAGCGCTCACTGTTCTGGTGTGATTGCAATAATACCTGAGGCTGCAGACTTTTGTATGCGTGTTTGTATGTGATACTCAGCAAACTTTATGGGAAGCCAAACACTGTGGAAGTGGGACTAGTAGAGCAGGGTGCAATCCCTGCCTGCAAGAAGTTCAGAAGTAAAGTGGGGGGTGGTTACAGGGGCAGGGAGCCTGAGGGGATGAGGAGATGTTGGTCAAAGGCATAAGCTTGCAGTTAGAAGATGAATAAGTTCTGGAGATCTAATACACAGCATCATAATTGCAGTTAACAATGCTGTATTATACTCTGTATTCATTCAATCAAGACATGATTGTTGGAAACCAGCTCTATTTTAGAAGCAAGTAGGACTTCTATTCTGATAAGATGATAGAGAGAAAATAGACAAAAACACATAGGATATGTTTTATTGTGATGAGGTCATTAAAAAGGGTCATGTGTTAGTAAGAGCTTATGACAGGGTCTGCTAGTAAGTTACTGTAGATGAGAAAGCCTTCTCTACAGATGTGGCATTTGAACTGAGAAAGAGAGAGAGAGAGAGAGAGAGAGAGAGAGAGAGAGAGAGAGAGATCCACTCCACTGAAGGGACAAGAATGGCACTTCCAGGAAGAGAAAAAAATACAAAATGCCTAAGAAAAGCAAGCTTATAGAAGATACAGATAACGGAGGTGAGGTCAGAGAGGCACACAGGCACCAGGTAACTGAGGTAGTGATCATCTTAGAGTAAGGAGTCTGATTTTTAATAAAAATCACAGACTTTGAAGGATTTAATCTAGAAGTCCCTAATCTACTTTCTATACTGAAAACTGTTACTTATTTGAAAGGAATTGAAATAAAGCGAAAAAGAGAAGGCAGAGAGACCTGGGAGGAGACCGACATGAGTGCCGGTTGGCGGTGATTGACTGCAGAGAAGGTGGGTGGACATATGGAGGGTGATTGAAGTTGGAAGCAAAGCCTTTGCTGATCAATTTTATGTGACAAGAATTCCAGGTTCCGGAGTCCAGGCACCTTGTCAGATTCCAGTTTATTTAGCCCAGAGTACAGAACATGTCAGAAGTGGGGTGGCCACACAGACGGTGATGTAGGATCGCACAGCCCAGACGTCTGAGTCCCCAAGAAGGTAAATCTGCAGTTATGTTTCATTTTACTAAATGTCTGCCATATTTTTCTTACATGGAGGGAAGGAAGATGCTTTGTTTGAGAGAGGTGAGTTTTTCTCTGGCGCTGTACACTTATGAATATGGTCAATGGGGAGACATCAAAGCCAAATCTGTCTGGGGTTCCTAGTCCTGTTTTCCCAGAGATGAGCAGAATTAGCTCTCCACTCCCCTGGGCACATGAACAGTGCGATAGGTGTGTGTGTGGTGGGAGCGATGTCCGACTGTGTGGTGGACTTTCACTCTGTCGCAGTGGCAACTTCTGGGGGCTCAGCCCGTCCCCATGCAATCCTGCACAGAGTGGAGCTTCACACAGTCGAGATGAGAGAGGTAGTCTCGGGGCGCTTTGGAAGTAAATTTACTGGAGTAAATTTACTGACACAGATGCTCATCTTGAATAATCCCAGTTTGCATTTACGGCAGACTTTTAACAACAACAAGACAAGTGATTTAACATATGCATTTGTACTTTTAATCATCTTACGTAATAAAGAGGTGATCTCCATCTAGACAATGGTTCTCAACCTTCCTAATGCCGCAACCCTTTAATACAGTTCCTCATGTTGTGGTGACCCCCAATTTCATTGTTACAAATTGAACATGATTAAAGCATAGTGATTAATCACAAAAACAATATGTAATTATATATGCATTTTCCGATGGCCTTAGGAGACCCCTGTGAAAGGGTCATTAGACCCCCAAAGGGGTCGCGACCCACACGTTGAGAACCGCTGATCTAGAGGAAGGTCTGAAAACCATTTCAATTGCCTCCATGTCGCTGCTGTGCTAACAGATTAGCACACACTGTGTGGTTTGAAACAACACAGATTTATCATCTTGCAGTTCTGGGGGTAAGAAGTGTAAATTCCATCTCGGTGAAATCAGGTCAAGGTGTTGGCTGGGCTGTGATCCTCCAGGAGGCTCTGAGGGGAAACCCCTTTCCTTGTCTGGTCGGGCTTCCAGAGGCCACAGGCATTCCTTGGCCGGGAGCCCCTCCCTGCATCACACCAACCTCTTGCATCAGTAGTCACATCTATTGCTCACTCTGACCTTCCTTGTCTCCCTCTTCTAATGGCCCTAGTGGTAACACTGGGCCCAGTGGGACCATGCAGGGTAGTCTCTCCATCACAAAATGCTTAACTTAATCACCACACAGTCCCTTTGCTACTTAAGGTCACCTAGTCACAGGGTCTGAGGAGGTGGACAGGGACGTTTTTGGGGGTGGCGCCTATCAGCCTACCATACCCACTTCACATCCTTGTGTCTGCAAGATGCAGAACTCCCCCGGGAAGCTGAAGACTTAAAAAATATCTTATAAGAGCAGTTAAAAATTAATAAATAAGAAAATTAAAAAGATGCTATCAATTTGTGCAATCTCATTTCTGTCATCAATGTAATTTTGGCAGCCTTGGGTGCTATTCGTTTTAGTGTGGTCTTCTTACCTCTTAAAAATATCCATGGGGGCAATATTATTTTAAAACTCAGAAAAAAAAATAAAATGATTGAGAAGGTAGCAGATAATGATTATCTGTGATGCCCTCATACCTAGAGTATCAGATGTGAACACTAATGAAAATAGACATCTAGCTGACAGCCTGGGGCTTTGACGTTTCACTGTGAAGTATGTTGGTGCTAAAAATAAAATTTGCAATAAACAAAAGTTCCTTCTGGTATTTAAATGATCTTTCGATTAACTCGGGAGCTCCTTCAGGCAGTAGAGCACCTTTTCATTCTGAGAGTGTATAGTAGCTGGAGAATTAAGAATATTAAAGTGAGGGTGTTTAAAAACCTCATTGGAAATACAACACACAATTTATTATGTTGCCCATATGACAATTTACTTTTAAAACATTTTTGTATTCATTGGTTCTTTTATTCAGTTATTCATGCAAAAATATGTGTGGAGTCTCTCCTCTGTGTCTGCCTGGCAGATATTGTGCCTGATGGGCCATTGTGTGAATGTTGCCTTTTGCTCTGAGTGTGACATCGAGCCTCCGAAACAAAAGAGCAATATAATCCTATCTAATAAAAAGCCAGTGACCATAATGGCCTAACAACCAGAACGATGGATCGACCAGTCGCTATGAGGTGCATTGACCACGTTTTGATCCCTCCCCCTAGCCACAGGCTCCAATCGCTGGGTGGCCAACAGGGAACCATGGGGGAACTGGGGTGGGTGACGGTGTTGCAGGACTGGGGACTGGCGAGTGGGCGGAAGATGGCCCTGATCACAGGCTAGGCTTAGGGACCCTACCTGCACATGATTTCGTGTGCTGGGCCTCTAGTTAGACTTATATTTCAGTAGGACCACTTGGACTGCTGGGTTGAAACTAGATGAAGGGAGGGAAGGATGCAAGCCAGGGCACTAGTATAAACAGTGTCATATATGTGTGCTACCCTAAACACTAATGGAAGAGTGACTAGTTGGCATTCGATGTGCCCTATTTCAGAATCATCAATCCAGATGTGGCTACTCAATATTTCAAAGGATGCTTTCAAAACCTACAGTGATGTCCAGGTTGGCTGGGGGCTAGCTGGAAACATTGGCACAGGCCTCGCCATCTGTGCAGGGACGCAGTAGGAAATGTCTGTAAATCCCACCTTTGGATCTGCTATATTAAGTTTAAGATCTAGAGTTCAAGCCCTACTGATCCTGGAATTTTCTTTCTTTCTTCTTTTTTTTAATCCTCATCTGAGGATATTTTTCCATTGATCTTTAGGGAGAGTGGAAGAGAGGGAAAGACAGAGAGAAACATCGATGTAAGAGAAACAGGGCCCGAGCCGGGAAGGCCATGCAACCGAGGTACATGCCCTTGACCAAAATCCAATCCAGGACCCTTCGCTCTACAGACTGATGCTCTATCCACTGAGCCAAACTGGCTAGGGCTGATCCTAGATTTTTCTACCAAACACCATCCCAGGGCTCACTGGTCCTTCCATCAGAATTTTGTGTCTCTCAGTAAACCTTGCATGCCATATGTAAGGCAGGATGCCTGAGGGCTGAGGGCAGGACATCCAGGAGCTATAAGAATAGCTTGTGTGACTGTTTTTGTACCTGCTTGCTAATCAATATTGGCGTGCTGGGCAGAACTGGGTCTCAGACTTGCTTTCTTTGTCACATACCATCTTACAGGCAGCTAGTGGGGACAGGGGATGTCCAGTGGCCAACCTTCCTATCACCATGGAAGACTATTTACCAAAAGAACCTGACCTTTACTGAGAGGTCAAATCGATTCAGCTCCCACTCACATCTATTAATGTCATTTATCTAATTTTTAAGTCAAATTTGGATTCTGTGTGCTGTGTTCCACGTTATAATGTTTCTGTTTATATTCAAATATGGCATTGCTCTGAAGTTTCCCATTTAAACTGCCTTTATTAGGTTCTAGAAATATAAAAGTGACCGGAAAGAATTGAGTCAAGGTATGGGCAGTGCATTGGGATCATGGGTGATTTTTATTCTAATCTCTGTATCTTGATGTATTTTACAAATTTTATTCAAGATATTTATTGTATTCATATTCATAAAATACCATTAAACATTCTTAAACATTTAAAAGACTTAAATAATGACATTTGAACACAAATCTAGCGGAAAATTTTCATTAGTTAAAAAGAGAAGCTTTTCAGCATCTAAGCACATAATAGAATATTTAACAGAAATTTTATGCCTTGATTCATTGAAAGAAATATAACTACATTTTTAGACCTACAACATCAACAAAGAAATTTTTTTGAAAATTGACATTTATTTTAAAATGCATGAATCAGGTATATCTAGATCCCTCTTCCCACCTTTTTTGGGAATAAAACTAGTTATTTCACCAACACAATGTATGTGTTTGAAAGGGATATGACTTTCCCTTTGTTTGGCAAAGAAATATATGAAATACAACATTTTCAATAAGTTCTCCTTCATTTAACAATTTTCATTTATATAATTACGACTTATCTTTTAAGTTTCTTTCCTATCTCGTACCTTCAGTCATAAAACATGGCAGTTATAGGCCTCAGAATCAATTGTAATACTTATTCTTGGATGAGCTGGATAATGGTTAATACAGTTAATCTCATTAGTTTGTCTCTGGGAGTTTTGAGTATTTTTGATAATTTGCATCTCGAGTTCTCTGCAGCAAGTTTAAAAGGGACTCTTGAACTGAAATTCATCCCCCAAAATACTTCCGTGTACAGCTTTGCTCTGGATTCTAAAAGAGACCATGCTGTCTTAGATAAACAGCTCAATGGCTTAATGTGAATAAAATATGACTTCCTAAGGCTTCATTCCCCACCCTCCCATCCTCTCATCCCTCCACCCCCGCAAAATACGTGGCACTCAAAAAAAATGCCCACTGCTGCCAGTCATCTTCCAAACTCACTTTCTGAAGGTTTTGTTTGCTTGTTGTTGTTCTTTTTCTTGGTTTTTAATTTTTTTTAAATTGTTTATTCCATGGAATGTGATTTTAGCTTCTTGGTGTAGTGGTGGAACTGGGGAGGGGATTCCGGCCCGTCTGGCATTGTCCAGGCAGGCACGGCAGAGTCTCTAAGTGCTTCCTGGGAGCCAGGTGAGGATGAATAGCATCTGCTCCTAGGTAGGCCTGGTTAGCAGGGTTGAATCATAATTTGGTTATAAGGTGCTCAAGCTGAGACTGGGCTCCAGTAAGTTGTGACAACATGAGGGCTAAAAAACGGAAGAAAGCATAAGGACTGGGAGGGGAACTAAGACAAATTAAGGCTTCAAGTAATTTCTCCATTTCTCTAAACTCTGAGCAGTCTGGAGTTGATATTCAATTCATAGCATAGCTGCGCCCTCTCGTGGCCATACCTGGAAGCTATGACGATTGTACATCGCCCTTCCACCAGTTTTATTTCATTTCTCCCTCCCATGTCACTAGCCGACTGACCAACTTAGACTCTATGCACAGTCAGGGCATATTCGTACCTTTGGGCCTTTCTCTTGTCCACATGAAGGGACAAACCAAAGTTTTACTTTTAAAAAGCCTTCTACGTCGTAGTCACAAAATAGCACAAGTTTGGGCCCCAGCGAGTCTGGTTTTGCTCCTGTGGGTCTGTGGTTGGAGAGTGCTGAAGCTGTCCCTGCAGGCGAGGGTTGGGGAGTCACAGATCGTAGGGAAACCTGCGGAGGCAGCTGCCCCTGGCGACTGGGAGTGATGTGTCCATATCCGTGTGTGTGTGTGTGTGTGTGTGTGTGTGTAGAGTGGGAGTGTATTTTTTTCTGTTCATCAGATTATTTATTCACTTAATTATTAGATTCACTT